CATAAAGATGATTGGTTTTACTCTGCCACATGCGTCTGCCACAATGTGCTACCCTTAGAAAGGCCCAAAGCAATAGGACACCTGATTTGGACTGGAACCTCCAGCACCATGAACCAAAAATAAACTCTTTATAAGTTAATTACCTCAGATATTTTGTTATAGTAACACAAAACTGACTAATACAAGCCTCTTTAAGTGCATCATGATTTACTTGGTAAATTTCTATGCTGTGGCTAATTATTTTACTGTCACCCTTATCACACTTATTCTTGCTGGTGAGAGCTAGAACTTGATCTGAGACAGTTAAAGTTTTCTCTGAAGAGTTTAATTCTAGGATTTTATTACTTTGTGTATAATATTATAGTAGCCAGTAATAAATATGGCACTTAATTTTGCATGCCTACTTTGTGACAAGGGCTGTGCTGTACATGTGTTATTTCATTACACACTAACCCAATGTGGTCTGTGCTTTCATTGTTTCTACTTTTCAGAAGAGAATAAATTGTCTAAAGCCACATAACTAATAGGTTATGAGTTGAACTTGAATGTAGGTCTGTCTACTCCAGAGGTCAACCATTATAGTCTAATAATGTTGAGACAGATTGTAATAAAAGGCACAATTATACCAAAGCCCAAACTACTGGAAGTAAAGGAGCTGAATTAATCAGAATAACCTAAACTGCTGTGTCCTTTGGTTCCCCTCATGTGTAATAGACTCAAACAATAGATTTCTCACGATGGAACAGTTCAAGGATTGGTGGGCGGCTCACCTCCTTAGGTCAATTAGGGAGCCAGACTTTGCTCCCTAATTTGTGGGGCCCATGAAAAGGGAAACAAAACATGGAGGAGGCATGATCACATCCCTGGATTGGAGCTGGCATTCACTACTGCCCATATATCATTGGTAGGATTTTGTCCCATGTCCACCTGATGCCAGTAGGCTGTCAAATATGGTCCAGATATGTGCTTAGGCAAAGAAGGGGGAGAACACATTTCAGATAGGTGGGACTCTGCTACAGGAACCAAGAAAAAAAATTGGGTAGAGAATTAGAAGTAGAAACCTAGCGAAGAACTTGAATATTCTTGTGATATTCATCTGAACTCATCTTAAAAATCCAAGTCCTGGGGCTGGGGTTGTGGCTCAGTGGCAGAGTACTTGCCTGGCACGTGTGAGGCACTGGGTTCAATTCTCAGCACCACATTCAAATAAGTAAAATAAAGGTATGGGTTCATCTGCAACTAAAAAAAAATTTTTAAAAAACAATGCAAGTCCTTTTTGAGTTCATTTCAGCCAATAGGACTCAATTTCATAGATTTTAATTTTACAGATTGGTAAGGACTGCTTATTATTAATTTTTTACTAAATTAATTACAGATTAGGAATATTTGGTATTCATAAAATAAAATTAGTATGTGTGTTAGCATATACCTGAGATAATTATATAGAGAGCATTTTTATTTTGTCTTGGTTTTAGATGTTGTAGTTCAAGAAGGGGCTTGGGTGGATTGCTTTGGGCCTTGATAAGAGAGCACATCATGGCTGGAACGTGTGAGATAGTAAAACTCTTCGCCCCGGGAACAGAAAGCAAAGACAGAAAGAGGAAAAGACCAGGGTCCCACAATCCCCTTAAAGGACATACGGCCAGTGACCTAAATAGCTCCCATTAGGCCGTGCCTCTTGAAGGTTCCACCACCTCCCTGTAGCACCCTGGGTACCAAGATCCAGGACACATGGACCTTTAGGAGACATTCAACATCCAAATCACAGCAATATATTTCTAGGGTTCACTGAAATCTCTGATTCAGTAATCTACTAAAATGTCTGGCTGTTTTTCAGGGCCTGTCTTTGTTACAATGATTAATCTGCAGATGCATGCATGTAGATGATTGGAATTCCCCAAATTGTCTAGAAAGATCCTCAATCAAATCCTTGCCTGTATTGCATTCAATTGGTGATTTGAGCTTGAAGTTTACTTTTTGGTTGTTGAATATTTTTTGTTAGTTTTTGTTATTGGTGTTTGTTGGCCATTTTACTTATTTTTGAAAACATTTAATACTGCATTGGGCCTAAGGATTCTGTAATATGTTTTCACTTTGTCATTTTGTTTTTAACTCTGTCCTATGTCATCTTCAGTAAGAGTTGTATGGTAGGTAATTAAAAATTAAGAATAACAGTAGGAAAAAATGAAGGATTTAAATATCTCTAATGACTGTTTTCTCTATTTTTAAACTCTGTATCATGGAAAATTAATGTTTTTTCTATTGTGAGATTAGCAAAGTAACTTCATCATTTGATTTTTTTAAAGAGTAAATTGTAGGACTATTGGAATAATTAAATGGAATAATATATGTAGGTACTTAACATAGTGTCTCACTTACAGTGAGCCTTCAGTAAAAGAGAATTAATGCTGAAAAGGAATGTCTGCTTACTAAAAAGAGAATTGATATGCTCCAGATCCTAGATCATTATCTGCAATCATTTCCTTCTGCCCTACACTATTATACTCATATTTTTTGGTGGGGGTGGGTATCAGGGATTGAACTTGGGCACTCGACCACTGAACCACATCCCCAGCCCTATTTTATATTTTATTTAGAGACAGGGTCTCATTGAGTTGCTTAATGCCTCATTTTTGCTGAGGCTGGCTTTGAACTCATGATCCTCCTGCCTCAGCCTCCTGAGCCGCTGGGATTATATGTGTGCATGTGCCACTGCAGTCGTCATCCTTATTTTTTTTAAATGGGTATGTGCTAGTGACGAATCCTCTCCAGTTTTGTTTGTTTGAAAATGTTTTTATTTCTATCATTCTTTTTCCCCACTGTACTAGGGATTGAACCCAGGGCCACAATACACTGAACTACATCCCAACCCTTTTAATTTTTTTTACTTTTGAGACAGGGTCTCACTAAGTTGCCCAGGCTAACCTCAAACTAGCCTTACCCTTGCTCCCTAGTGGCTGGAATTACCTGTATGTAATTCCACCATGTCGCCTGTCTTATTCTTAGAGCATATTTTGGTGAAGGATACAGTCTTGGGTTGACCATAATGTTCTCTTGGACTGTTGAAGCTGCACATATGGTTTAATTTGAAGATACCATGGCTTTCTTTTTTTTCTTTTTACTGCTGGGTCAGCAGTCAGTCTAATTATTTAGTGTTTTGTCTTTTCTTTTTTTTAGTGCTTTTAATTTTTTTTCTGTCTCTTGGGTTTTTTGTGATTTTACTATGCTGCTTCCTTTGTATTTATCCTGGTTGCAGTATATAGAGATTTATATATTTTGTCTGGGGAAGTTCTTTGTCAGTATTTCTTTAGATACAGCTTTTGCCCTAATACATTCCTTCTTTACTTCTAGGACTCCCCATTTTTCTTTTTTCTTACTCTTTTCTATATTTTCTTTCTTTTTTTTTAGCTCTCAGAGCTTCATTTTGGGTATTTTTCTTATACTTCATCAATTTTCCTCTTTAGCTTTGTCTAATTTTCTGTGACTTTGACTCTTATATGTTTAAATTTTAGAATTTCCACTAAAGACATTTTCCAGTTCTTTGCCAAAATTCTCAGTCTACGATAATTACTTCAAAGTCTGTTCTAGCTAATTCCATTATTTGGATTTACTGTGTAATTGTTGGTATTACTTATTATTTCTTTCCCATTTTCATGTATAATAAGTTATCTTCTGATTGAAATGATATAAACCTAGAATTTAATTTCTATCAAAAATGATTTTTTGATTCACAGTTATCTTTAAGATGAAATCTTTTAAGGTCCTTATTCATAGTAGGGATTTATCTGACCCTTTCCCTGGTGAGCTCTACTAATCACACCGTCCCCAAGTCTCTCATGGCCAGTAGAAATCCTTCTTGGCTCCCTGCTTCACTCCTTCTTTTCTCCTTCTTCCCAAATTGGCAGAGGCTTCTGGGAAACTGCAGATACTGAGCTTCCTCTCTGTTTCTTCTTATGGGCCTCAGAATTCTCACTGCCCTGTTTGCGTTCTGATATTTGCAGTTTTTTTTTTTTTAAGCGTGTGTGTGTATGTGTGTGTGTGTGTGTGTGTGTGTGTGTGTTGTTTGTCTTTAGTGAAAGAGTTTGTCTGAACCTCCTAATCTTTTGTCCTAGAAGTTGAGGTTTTGGCTTGTCTTCTCACTATTAATGGCATATTAATGTCACTTTTAGAATGTGTAGTTTTGGGGGACTTATATAGCAGTGTCTTTGCCTATGTAAGTTATCCCATCTCTGTGGGATGACTGCAATAGAGAGTTTCATAATTTTGTAATGACCATTTAGTACCCATTAACATTTTTCTAAGTCATTTCATTCAGTCTACATTTGTCATCTTCTGTAGATTTTACCTCCAATCTGTCCTTACTGCTAAGGCCAGTACAAGCTCTTTTTAAACTATTCTAATGGCTTCCTAACTGGTCTCCCACACTCTAGGCTGAGCCTTTCTGATCTGTAATTGCTCACAGTAACTCAGTTCCCTGCTCGTGATCTATTGGTGACTCCCCTTGTGCATTGGACAAAGCCCATTTCCTTTGTAACCAGGGGTCCCACTTAGATACCAGCTCATTCCCATCCTTTCTTCCTGCTACATAGAGTTAATGCTCCAGTCATACCTGACAACTTGAGTTTCTCTGAGCCTACTGCTATTTTCCCATCATTATTTTATAGGGAAAAACTATTTCTTCTTCTTAGAATACCATCTACTGTCAATCTGGCCCATTCATTCTTTTTTCTTATCTTGTGTTTGAGCACCTTTTGTAGTTATTCTTTTACCCAAGTTGCTCTCCTTCCATGTTCTGAGCTGCTTACAAAAAAGGTTGGTTTTCTCTGGTCAGCCTGGCTTACACATGTGCTTTTGGTTGAGCCTCTTATGTAACTGTTAGGATCAGAATTTTTCTTTATCTTGGAAATCAGAATTAGGTATAATTAAGAGAAAGTGAAATCAGCCTGTAGCATATTTATTTGCCAGAATAACTCATTTTTACTTTTCATTTTAATTTTCAGCAAGTTTGTCAAAGATGAAAGTGACCTTATCAGCTTTGGATACTTATGAGAGTTCTTTCACACCTTTGGTGGTAATAGAACTTGCTCAGGATGTCAAAGAAGAAACCAAAGAATGGCTAAAAAACAGAATTATTGCTAAAAAGAAAGATGGAGGTGAGTAACATGTCATATGCTCAATGACTAAAAGTGTATTTGCAAATGTGCTTTACAATTTTTATTGATGTTTTATTTGCTAATGTATATTTTCACTTTATTATCTACCTAGGAGTTGAAATGAGGCCTTAAATCAAGATTAAATTGTAAATTCCCTTTAGCCTGTAAGCAATATGAGTGGTTTTCTTCATAACTCTTATTAATATGCCTACTATAGTACTTAGTGCATAGTAGGAGCTTAATAAATGAATGAACAAGTATCTGTTGAGTGTTCTTTGTGTGTCAGTTATATTGCTAAGAAAACTCAGAGAAGTCTCTGCCTGCAAGGATGTTTGTCAGGATAGGGAGACTGAATGCTATTTCCCAAAAATTTTAAGTAAAAAAATAAGTTAGTGAAGAGCAGTCACAGAACAGTGCATGATACTTACACATGAATCATATGTACACATACTGTAAAGAAAAAGGGAAGTGAGGATGAAACTTTGGCAGTGCTTTTTGGAATGGCAAGGGATGGCCTAAAGCACTTAGGTTTAGCCCTCTCTTGAACAGGGGTTAGGTGTGGGTGACAAGGTAGGGGGTGTTTTACATAAGCAAACATTTTATAAGGTACCAAAAATAGTACCTTAAACTGCACCAAGTACTGAACTAAACTTAAACTCTTTTTTTTTTTAAAGTAACTATAAATCAAAATGGATTTTTTTCAAAAGAGAATTTAAACATTTTTTCAAATAATTGTACCCAAAGGAAAGAAAAACAAAAGTATTTGCTTGCTGCAATTTGAGGTGTTTCACTGACTTGAATTCCTTCTTTAGCCTCCAGTGATTTAAGAATATTTGTAGCATCTTAGAATGAAAGGCTCCAGTGTACTCCCAGCCTCCTTTCTGTTGGTGTGTGCTTTTGGGACACTTTGGGGACAGCATCTCTGCACTGTCTTTGTCTTCCAATAAAGGCAATGCATCTACTTTAGTATCTCCTTTTGTTGTCTTCTGGACTCCTATTAAAGTGATGATAAAAATAAAAGGACCTTTTAAAAAGGTATATTAATCTCTAGGATATATAAAGAACTCAAAAAACTTAACACCAAAAATACAAATAACCCAGTCAATAAATGGGCTAAGGAACTGAACAGACACCTCACAGAAGAAGAAATACAATTGATCAACAAATATATGAAAAAGTGTTCAACAACTCTAGCAATTAGAGAAATGCAAATTAAAACTACTCTAAGATTTCATCTCACTCCTATCAGAATGTCAATCTTCAAGAATACAGGCAACAATAAATGCTGGCGAGGATGTGAGGAGAACAGTACAGTCATACATTGCTGGTGGGACTGCAAATTGGTGCAACCACTATGGAAAGCAGTATGGAGATTACTCAGAAAACTGGGAAGGGAACCACAATTTGACCCAGCTATCCTACTCCTTGGTTTATACCCAAAGGACTTAAAATCAGCATACTATAGTGATGCAGCCTCATCAATGTTTATAGCAGCTCAATTCACAACAGCTAAACAATGGAAGCAACCTAGATATCCCTCAATAGTTGAATGGATAAAGAAAAAGTGGTATATGTACTCAATAGAATATTACTCAGCTTAAAGAAGAGTGAAATTATGGCATTTGCCAGTAAATGATGGAGTTGGAGAATATCATGCTAAGTGAAATAAGCCAATCCCCAAAAAACAAAGGCCAAATGTTTTCTCTAATGGTAGAGACTAAGGAAGAATAGCCGTTACCTTAAATTAGGTAGAGGGAAGTGATAGGAGGAGAGGAGAGGGGATGTGCGAATAGGAAAGATAGTAGAATGAAACAGACATTACTACTGTATGTATATATGTGACTGCATGACCAATATGATTCTGCAGCATGTACACTCAGAAAAATGAGAAATTATATCCCATTTATGTATGGTATATCAAAGTGCATAAATGTATTCTACTGTTATCTGTAACTAATTAAAACAAATTTAAAAATTAAGAAAAAAAATAAAAGACCTAAGTCCACACTGACAAAGAAGAAAGAAGAAGATAAAACAATAACAGAATTGTAAAAGCTAGAAAATAATGGGATGAGTAGTAACTGACTTCACAAAGTTGAAAAAGGTGGGACTTAACCTGGTAGGGGAGAAAATTTAGAAGCAATTTGTTTTATGCTACAGAACACTCCCTCAAAAAGAAAAAAAAAAACCCTCAGGAATTAGGGATATCAGAGACTTGTGGACTGGAGGAGAAGAGTAGTACCAAGGAAAAAAGAGGATTGGTGATCTACTTAAGGAATATATCGCTGGATCCCTTTAGTTTTCTACCACACCAGCAGAAGACCTGGGATTCATTCTCTGGAGAAAGTCAGATGCTTGGTTTTTGACATGGGGGTTCTAGGCACAGTTGAGCAGAGATCCATACTTGAAAATAAGGTACTGAGGACCATTCCCCTTCTACCACCCACCATTCTCATATTTCACTCAGTTTCCAAAATACTAGAAGCCAGAGTCAGACCACCTAGGAAGCAGTCTTTCTCTGGAGAATCTCACCCATTTAAGACAAAATAACTGAAGGTGCCAAAATCAGGAGGTTGCCAATGGAAAATGACTTGGCCATTCCAGCTTGCATTAAAAGCCATCTCTGATAGGCTCTATCTAAGCACTCAGAACTTCTATTTAGCTTCTTAGAACTCCTTTCTCAAGCATATAAAAGAAAGATCACCAAACTTCTGAGGAAAATTGCTTATATGAAAGAGAAAGCTAAAGCTAAACAGACAGGTAAATGCAACAAATCATGTGAAGGAGAAAACCAAAGGAGAATAGAAATCTCAGTCATCAGAGTTATGAAAAGAAGTAACATCTATAAATCAAGAATAGGATTTCATAAAAATGTGGAAAAAAGCAACTCTTAAGAAGTGAAAATATGAAATCAAAGTTTAAAAATTCATTAAAATGGTTAGAAGATAATGTTGATTAAAAATATCCAAGAACAAAAAGGTATAGAATTAAAAATTATGGGAGGAGGTAAAAATAAAGACTGATCCAAGAGATACACATCTGAATAAAAGGAATTCTAGAAAAAGACCAGGGGGAAAAAAGAAGAAATCATCAGAAAAAAACTGGAGACTCCAAGTCTCAAAGGCCCATCTAGTGACCGGCACTGTCGATGAAAATGGCATAGTCTTGGGAAGTTTCAGAACCCTGGGGAATGAGAAAAAACAAGACTTCCAGAAAAAAGGAAATAGGCCAGATGTAAAGTATAAGACTTCTTAACAAAAACATTAGAAGGCAGTGGTGTCATTTCTTTATTCCTAAAAGAAAGGTTTTTGATCTAAAATTCTGTACCAACTAGTTGCCTAAAGGTGTAAGGGCAGAGTCAAGGAAGGTTCTCTGAAAAGATGATGTTGACAGCGTATCTTTCATGTCAGTGAATCAAGGGGAGACAGATGATTGGCAGACAGTTTGGGGGAATGATTTAGATATATAATAACTAAGCAAGTGATAAGACAGCAACTTTTAGGAAAATGGAAAGTGCAGGCAAAGTTCAGCCATAAATAACATGTAATCATAATATGTAAATAGTGACTATTGAGGAAAAGCGTAACATAACTACATTGTGAGAATGGGGAGGTAGGAATGGTGAATGCACATGGTGAAGGTTGGGAAAAATGGGAGCTAAATCCTCATCTTGCTAGACTTAAAATGAAAAAAAAAATCAAGAAATACCTCTCTAGGCAATATTATCTGGTGATATGAAAGCAAATAATAAACGAATCACCTGAACAATTTGAAGGGGACGGTAACTTGGGGCAGGGAGATGAGGACTACTGTCTTTCAAAATAAGACATTAACAAAGGATTCTTTGAACTTATTCCATTTCCTACCTCCTCAGTAGGAGGAGGTTAACTCACTGTGTCAGTTTGGGTCCTTTAAGAAAGAGATGCCACGATGGGATTTGAATACACCAGAGGTTTACTAAGGGAAAGATTTGAAAAAAAGATAAAGAGAATGGAACAGGAGTAGATCTGACACTTGTGAGAGAGGCAAGGGAGGAAGAGCCTGAAAGCACAGCACAATTCTGAAGTGTCAGCCAGGCTTTAGGTTTCCCTTTAAAGGAGAACCATGTTGAGCAGGAATGGCCTTGCTCCAGAGTCTCCTGTGTATTCAGCCAGTGGCTCCGAGCAGCCAGAAGCAGCATGGCTTGGTGTAAGGAATGGTGGCTAGCACCAGCTCCTCCAAGCAGATTCTCCTGGAGTAGGGCACCTGGTGGCTCCCATACTCACTACCCTGTTATCAGACTTTCTACCTTTGCATTGCGAGAAGAGAAAAATTAGCATTTTGGTGACTTTTTTTTTTTTGTATTTTTCTTAATGTGAATGAGGTTAATGATCTTATATTTAAGAGCCATTTGTAATTTTTCTCTATAATTTGAATATATCTTTTATTAAAAATTTTCATACCTCTATTGTAAATTACCTAAATAATAGTGTCATAATACATTAATCTAAATAAACTAATCTATTTGGTAAGTAAATTATATATTTTTTTGAAATTATAAATTTTAAAAATTATATAATTTTATTCATTATCCAATTATATGATTAATGTCTGTCAACTATTTCTACAGAACTCATAGTAAAGAAGTAAACAGTTGGCTGCAATGATATCACCTGTAGTCCCAGCTACTCAGAGGGTAGGGCCAGGAGCATCCCTTGAGCCCAAGAGTTCAAGGCCATCCTGGGCAACTTAGTGCTTACCCTGTCTCAAATTAAAAATAAATAAATAAATAAATGTACCTTGCAAAGTTTGATGTAGGTAAAAATAATTAGAAAAAAATTCCTTTTCTCTGTTATCTTTTAAGTAATAATTATATATACAATATTATTTTTAATGTTTTGGGAAAATAGTGATAATTTTGAAAAATTTTCTGGGTGTGGTTGTGCATGTTTTAATTCCAGGTACTTGGGAAGCTGAGGTAGGAGGATCACAAATTCAAGATAGTAAGACTCTGAATTAGGGGAAAAAAGTATATTAAGACATTTATAGAAAAATCACTAAAAAGTTATATTGCTTGAATTCTTTAATATTTATCTTTTATAATATTTCTTATAGTCTAGTGTAGTTATATTACATTTATGACTTTTTTTGCTAATGTATGTTATTTAATTTTAATTTTCTTACATTTTAGTTCATTAGGCTTATATTAGGAAATTTTATCCTTTCACTCTGTATTTTTACTTAATAACTGTTTTATACTTAAAGCTAATTAACATTGGATTCTCATCTCAACTGCTCATTTGAATAAATGGCAGACCACTTACTGCTACATTTTCAGTTTTTACTTTAACACTTTATAAAGATTGAATGTCCAAAACTTGTATTTTTTTTTATTTCCTTGGAATATAGATTTAAATTGTTAATATAATTTCTTCTCCTTCTACCAGACTAGATATATACTCATTTAGAAGGTTTTCATTTTTGAAAATTGTAATGTTTGTTTCTTTCTAAGGTTGTGCTAATCTTTTGTTTTTGAAGGTGCCCAGTTGTTGTTTAGACCACTGTTAAATAAACATGAGACAGAAACACTGGAACATCACAATCTGTATCTTGTTGGTGCCTCCCAGATCAGACTGTTACTGGGGGCAGAAGCAGTGGGATTGGTAAAAGAGTGCAATGATAACACCATGAGAGCCTTCACATACGGAACGCGACAGAACTTCAAAGGTTTTGATGGTGAGCCCCACGATATTTTGTTTGTATCATAATCCTCTTATTGCAAAAAAGTTTTTGATGAAAGGATTAGGAGGCTTTCTAGTAAAGGATCATTTTAACATTGAATATTAGTGAATATTTTAGGCTTTGTGGGCCATGTTGTCTCTGCTGCACTTAATACTGCCATGGTAGAGCAGAGAAGAAGCTTAGACCCTTAAGTAAATGAAGGGATGAGGCTGTTTTCCAACAAAATTTTATTTGTAAAACCAGGTGGCAGACTAGTTTGACTCATAGATCATACTTTACCACCTCTAGAATAGAGAACACCCTGGAATAGAAGGACATATGTAACTTTTTTACAGTATCCTATACTAATGTTCATAGTGATGAATATCCATGATACAGAAAAATCCTGTAAGAAACACCATAGTGGTTCTGTATCTTTAAAACATCATTTCCTGAAGTTTTTGGCTCCTACTGAATATGGTAGGGTAAGTGATTATGTCCTGGCCTTCCGGAGGAAAGGGAATGTTTTCTGGAAAGCAGCAGGAAGTCAGAGTAGCTTTATCAGGAACAGTGTTTGGCTTCAGAATCAAGCTGACCCCTTCAGAGCTTTCAGAGTTAGAAGATGTGATTAGACTTCTTCAGACCAATTCACTCTGGATTTTTATTCCTTAGTGACTTAATGAGCCAGGTGAAATTTACCTCATTTAAGAAGAGTCACCTGTCAAAAGGAACTCTGTTTTCTTATCAGACTTGGTTCTCTCTTTCACATTTGCCTCCAGAACGGAGTCTTGAGAGTTTGAAAGAGGAGGTTTTCCCATTTGGGAGTCTCTGGTAAAAAATACTGTTAGAATTCAAGAATATATTGCCTCCCACTGAGATCAAGCAAGTGTATGCTGTTTGAATGTTTGTAACATACTACATAATAACTATTAAAATGATTGAAGAATAGTAGTGTGAGAAAGCATGGCCAAATGTTTTTATTCTTATGAAATATCTAAGAAGCTTTATGTTCTGTTTAATTTACCAATTTCATACTTTGGTTACTCTTTATGTTAATTGTTATTGCTTATATCATTAAAATATAAAGTAATTGAGATATTGCTTAACTTTACTTTGTTACTGAAAAAACATATATTTTTGTTTTATTTTAGATAACAATGATGATTTCCTCACAATGGCAGAATGTCAATTCATTATCAAACATGAACTTGAAAATCTTAGAGCTAGAGATGAAAAAATGATCCCTGGCTACCCCCAAGCAAAGTTGTACCCAGGAAAGTCATTATGTAAGTCATTATAGCAACCAGTTTTGTGAATACACATTCTGATGAAATTATTTTATTGGCTACATATTTTTGACAGATTTTCCTTATAGATTGCATCTTTTATAGTCATCAAGTATTAGTCTTCATCTTGTTTACTGTTTTGTTAAGGTTGCTGTGTTCAACTTTTTTCTTGTAGTTCTTGCTTTATTTAAGTTTGCATGTGCTGGGATCTTTTTACCCATCTTTTTTTAGTCCCTCTCAAGGTTGTTTTAGGTGGATCTCTCATATTAGGATATAGTTGGATTTTGCTTGCATTCTGACCTGAGGACTTTTTTTTTTTCTTTTAACCAAATGATTTTTTAATTTGTTTTTGTGGTCTTGGTGGTCAAATCCAGGGCCTCATGCATGCTAGGCAAGCGCTCTACCACTGAGCTACACTACACCCTTATACTACTTAAGTAAATGACCTGTTTCGTGTAGAGATATCTTATTCAGTATTATGTTGTCTGTTGAAATTGCTTATTTCTGTGCTTAAAAAAATATTTTGCTATCTGGGGTGTGTCATCTTTTCTCACATTTCAATGGAAAAGGCTAAGAAATACATTTTTTTTCAAATAATGAATTTATATTAATATACTCAATTCAAATTTAACATTATGGAATTTTACTTATTTTCTTTGATTTTATATTTGTATTTCTTTTCACTTTGAAAATCTTGATTCTTAATAACATTACTATAATTACTAATTTACTTTATCTTACGTTTTACATAAAATAACTTGTAAAATCATGATAATTTCAACATTAACAATACCAGTGAGTAAAGTTTAAGATTTGTTTCTGTCTTTCTTTGTTTTTCTACTGTCTCTAGTTAAAATCTAATCTGTTTTTTTTTTGTTGTTTTGTTTTTTTAAACTAAAGGTTTGGTAGAATTCCTTTAAGAAATCATCTGGTTTGATGTTTGTTCATGGGTTAGGGTTTGAACAGTTTTCTCTGAATCATTTGTAGAAGGGTGTATTTTGACTTTCCATTGCTCCTGGGGTCAATTTGGATAAATTCTATTTTCTTAGAAAAGTTTTTATTTTCTGTAGGCTTCTGCTATGTTTCATTTCTACCTTTTATTTGTGGTTTTTCTTTTTCCTTTTAGTGTTTGTGGTTTCCTTGTAATATTTTTTCAGAGCTCTATGCTATTTTCTTTGTGATTATTAGTTATTTTTTAATGAATCCCTGTTCTTCACAGACTGGTGGCTGTCTTTTTGATTTTGAAGGGAAGTGTGTATTTTGGAGAGAGGGGTGACTGGAGGTCTCTATGGGGGAACTGTCAAAATGGGAAGCTTAGCTCTGCCTAGCAATGCATTCTTGAGTCATCTGGGGCTCTGCAGAGAGCCCCTGTGGAGTCCTGTTCTTGCAGAGTTCTTTGATTGGGTTTGGCCTTTAGGCCTATTTTGGGCTGACCACAGCTCCAGACTTAGTCATTCTTCATCCTGGGTTCTAGCAGGCAGTTCCTTCTTCCAATATGCCTTTTTTCCTCTCTAGCTTCACCTTGTCTAGCTGTGGGGCAGACATGCTCCAGGGGTTCACCGTGCATCCTCATGTGCCTGCATGCTGGCCAGGGGGACAGCTGTCCCACAGTGTCTAGGAGAACTCTGCTCTTTGCCTGCTTGGCCCAGGTTTGCAGAGGTGTGGGTGCCTTAGCTTACCCTGAGCTATTTTCAAGGCTTTTTATAGTAGTTTAGAATTTGAGTTTTAAGTTTATTTTTCTATATTTTTGTCAAAGATAGGGGTTTCTATTTCGTGTTTCTTTTTTTTTTTTTTTTCTTTCTGTTTTTAGTTCGGTATCATGAACAAAAATGGGGCAGTGGTGTCTTTCTGCTACTCTTAGTAACCAGGAATTCTACATTCTGTATTTAAGTAGTTATTTGGTACTAAGATTTTTAATCTTCCTTAATCTCTTGGTGGATGGACATGTTTTCAGACACAGCTGGGTACTGCATGAAATAAAACCCAAGCCAATTGAGACACTGTCCTGATTGTTAATGTAAACATCCTTCTTGTTTGTCCACATTGGTCAGACTGTCCTATGGAAATCATGGTTTCCACACCTGAGTTTCTACACATCTTTTTGGGTAAAGCTGGGATAGAGAAAAGTGTAAGTGTGCTTTTTTATCAAATGATACAATGGATCATCTAGTTTCCAAATGCTCCTAGCTGCTTAAAAGAGAAAAATTTTCTGCTGAATGAAAACCCTGAAAGAACTACTTGAATGGATTTCTCTTGGGTGTATGGGCTGGCACCCTGAAGCCATAACAGAAATAACTTTCTTGCTGGCCGGATGAGCCTTTTGTGAACAAGGATCCTTCCTTCCTCTTTCCCTTTCTTCTGTGTCTTTCTTTTTTGGTCCTAAATATAAAAGCAATAAAGTAATCTCAGTCATGGTCATTGGAAAGGTTTTTTATACCAGCTGACATAAAAATCCTATTTTAGTTGTCAAGTCGACATTTAAAAATTCTGCATTACTCTCTTTCTTTATGTCTTTGGAAATGTGATCTTTAAAATGCTATGTTGTCTTTTATACTATTTAAATTTATATCATATTTAGTTGAAGAAGAGGAGGTATATGCATAATTGTAAACTGTGACTATTTTCAGAACTGATAAACTTAGAGTAAGTTAAACCCTAGATTTTTAGTAGGTTACTCCACAGTGGAAAGGTAGGTTCCCTTTAAGCTTTGTGAGAGCTGCTGCTTTCTTGGGTAGCCTCTTCTCTGGGTAGGAGAGACTTCATCCTGCTCAGTGTGAAGCCTATTAGTACTGTGAGAGGTAGCCAAGGCTCTCACGGAAAATACTTCATATCCTAGGTTGACACACAATGATTATCAATTTGCTTGCTGCTTACTGTAATACTGGGTTTTGATAGAAAGCTTTCATTAAGCAGATAGAAATTGTGTCATTGGAAACATGATTTTGAGGCATTTTGGTGGTGCTCTGAGATGTGCACATGAGGGCCATTCATCATTCCATCAAATGGCCAGCAACGTGGAAAACAGAATGCTGTTTCCATGTATGTCTTGGTCGTCAAGTGGTGATCTTGACAGCTGTCCATTGCTTGCTTCTCTACGTGCTAATATCTTTTCATGCCTCAGACTCTGCTTCTCCTACTGCTTCTTAACAGAGACAGGGGTCTGTGTAGGTATACATGCATGTGCCTGGGTGGATGACCTAAGGAAAGATTTTCTTTAGAAAGAGGAGTTAAGGGACCCAAGAACTGCCCACATATTAGCTGTATCTTAAGGAATGTTATCTAGTTTAGGTTACAGTTTTGTCTCAAAACATCCTTCAGATGATTAGCACATTTCGATTGATGAGAGCTGCTATGGTTTAGATATGGTTTGAGTTTGTTCCCAAAAGTTTCATGTTGTGGAGGGTTGGTCTGCTATGTGGCAACATAGGAGGTGATAAAACCTTTAAGAGGTGGTCCCTGGTGGAAGACTTAAGATCATTGGGGACATGATCTGGCTTCCTCTTTGTAGATGTGATCTTGCCCTATTGAATGTGCTCCTGCCCTCTGCTGTGAGGTTCTCACCAGAGCCGAGCTGATGCTGGTGTCAGAATTGTGAGCTGAATAAAGGCCCTGTTAGTAGAAAGTTAGCCTGCCTCGGGTATTTTGTTACAGTAACAGAAAAATGGACCTAATATGATCTGACACATTTCCTATTATGTCTTTGATATGATTTGGTTTTTTAAATTATTTTTATTGGTGAATTATAAGTATATATAATAGTGGGATTCATTATTCCATATTCATACATGCACATAATTTGATCACTCTCATTCTCTGGTACCTTCCCTTGCCCTTCCTTTCTCCCTCCCCTGACCTACTCTCTCTATTTTACTGATCTCCCTTCTGTCATTATCATTCTTATTTTTAATTTGTGATTATAATTATATGTATGTATGTGTGTGTGTATATATATACACACACATACATACATATAATTATAATACATATATATATGATTCATTACAGTGTGTACACAGATATAGCATAATTCATGAGATCATTTTTTAAATTCCTTTTCTCTCTTTCTCTCTCTCTAGCTTCCACAAATGAGATAAAACATTTGACCCTCAACTTTCTAAGTCTAGCTTATTTCATTTAGCATGATGTTTTCCAGTTCCATCCATTTACTAACAAATGCCATAATTTTATTCCTCTTTATGGCTGAATAAAACTCCATTTTGTATATATGCCACATTTTCTTTATCTGTCCATCTCTTGGTGGACATCTAGGCTGATTTTATAACTTGGCTCTTGTGAGTTGCATTGCTATGAACATTTGTATGTGTGTATCACTATGTATGCTGATTTTAGTTCTCTTGGATAAATACCATGGAGTGGGATACCTGGATCATGTGGTGGTTCCACACTTTTAGTCTTTTGATAATCTCCCTTAGATTAGATCTCAATTTTTTTTTTTGCTGATTTCTTACTGGTTATCATAGTTAGAACCCAGTACTTACAGGAGATCCTTCAGCAATCTTGAAGGAAGGAATCTGGTTTAAGTGGTTGCTATCTTTAAATAGGCCCAGGTGGTATCATATTTTCCTTTCAAGGTAATGCTCCTTCCTAGTAATTACATTCTTAGCTTCCCTGAAAAGGTTGAAGGATTAAAAACAAACAAACAAACAAAAAAAAAACACACCAAGAAAACCTATTTTTAGAAGCTGAAACCAGAACCATGCTTTGGCAATGATGGTGAAAAGAAGACCAGTAATTTAGGCCTTGCAGCTTTATATTCTCTCAGAGTGCTCAGTTCACAGTCCTATTTTTAGAAACATAGAAGCTGGTTTTTATGCCTGCCTGGAAAATATTCTGTAGTAGAGTGGAGTCATCTTTTATAAAAGAACTTGGAAATAGTAAAAATAATAATTTAGATGCCATTAAGTCAATTCAAAGTTAAAATACTTTGTGTAGTAATTGGAAAGGATGGTGATAAGAAAATCTGCTATAACCTGTGCATCCCCAAATAAACGATGAGAATCAGGTTGGTTGTGACTTAAACTCTTCCTAGCTGAAAAACATCCACGGAAACACTTTAGGATAAAAATGTTTTAAAAATGGATTTGACAGCACGGGAGGCCGATGTAACTTAGCCCATATGTCTTTTTACCCTAGCTGCTGATATTTTGAGGATATACCCTTTTCAGTCACTAAGAAGGAGGATTTTATCACAACCCTAGTTTTTAAAGTTTTTCTCCTCTGTATAACTTACTTATAAGCTATAATTGTAAAAAGAAACATACATTATGAATCATTGTTTTCAAATCCAAAGTTTCCCCCATTGTTAGTATCAGGTATCTCCTCTTTTTAATGTTTTTCTTTTTTCATTTCTAAGGAGTTAAGTCTACTTTTAAATTACTCTGAAGATTTTTAAAAGATTTTTTTCCTTTTTTAAAAATTTTTTTCCTTAGTGGTCCTCACTGAGGGGGTCTCATGCTTGGGTATTCTCATCCTTGTCTTTGGTGGCAGATAGATAGGAATGAAGGGAGGCATCCATTGGAAGAGGTGAGCTGATAAACCTTCAAGAGCTCCAACCTCATCCATGGATAAAAAATGGCAAAACATTCTTTTTTTAATGCAAATTCCATCTCATAAGCAACCATGTTCCTTAACAGGAAAATATACTATAAATTCATATGGCAAATATTCCATGTCCCCCGATATGGCAAAAGGCTTTACATCCAAGTCCTCTGTTTCTACTGACAGCCCTTCTTCCTGAGGCCCTGAAGGTCCCTTCCCACCCTTTTGAGTCACTGTGAGTAATTAGGATAGAAGAGAGATCAATTAATATTTCTAGGAGATGCTGTCTTTGGTTAAGTTCATTTGTCTTTTTCAGATATGTGCACAAGTGTCAAAACCATACTAGAAAAATGACTGCTTATAGTAGGAAATCATTATTTTGATTTTGATATTTTCTGTCTGTGGGTATGTCTTTGCAATTAGGTTAGAAAATATAAAAATGATGGAAAATGCTTAGTCTCAACAAGAATGAAAGGAACTGAACATTTCCCTGCCTTCACAAATAGTAGAAGGATAAATTGTTAAAAAAATTTTTAGGGGTAATTTGTAATGTGTGTACAAATTTAAAATATATGTGCCCTTGGACCTAGCAATTCCACTTCTAAGTGCATATAATAAGGAGAGAGTAAACAGATGGGAAAAAGTATTTGTGCCAGAATTTTAGCATTATTCACAATAATAAAAAAAGGAAAACAAGTATTTGTCAATAGAGGATTAGTTGTTGATAGCATTTCATACAAGGAAATATTGTGACACTGTTAAAGAACATTTCATGTTCTATTGACATTGAAAAATATTACACATAATTACATGAGAAAAGAGGACAGAGCAATGTGACATATAAGATGATTTCATTTTTTGTTATTAAAGTATAAAGAATATATACTTTGAAGTCTGGTTATAAGTTAAGTTGCTATTTATAGTAACTATTTTCAGGAGAGGGAGAGAAAAACAGGATCCTCTCATTCTAATTTATACATTTTTATGGTTTAGAATTTTACATGAACTTTCTTTCACCAAGAAAATAGTAAAGTGATTTTACATTCTGAAAAATGAAAGAATGTACGCGTGTGGAGCAGGCAATGTGACCTCCACCTGTGTGTACTGCTCCTCTCGTGGGTGTGTCCTTGCAGTGTTTGCTGACAAGTACGTGATCTTCACCATAAGCCATCTCCAATTTATTTTATGCGGTTTTTGCGCCTCTTCCTGTAACAGTGAGAAGATTGCTCACATCTGGCATCGTGATTCAGGTGTTTCCACTACATGACCCTGAAGCCCTGAAGAAGCTTGAGGATACCTGGTACACTCGGTTTACTTTGAAGTATCAACCCATAGGTAGGTGCCAATACCTGTCTTTTACAGAAGAAGAGACCTGTAAAGAAATGTCTCCATCCGGCAGTGGAGTCATCTCTCTGGGGAAGATAATTTAGTGCTCTGCTAGGCACAAGATGCAGGATGGACCTATTCCGCATATTGATTGGGGCATGAGGGCATGAAATGACCCCCACTTCACTTTAAAAAATGTATAATTTACTTGCAGTGATTAAAAAGGAGTCTTTGGTGGTCTTTGGTAGTCTTTACTTAAGTTCTTTTTTCCCTTCCATTACAGACAGTATTCGTGGCTACTTTGGAGAAACGATTGCTCTTTACTTTGGATTTTTGGAGTATTTTACTTTTGCCTTAATCCCCATGGCTGTCATTGGGTTACCTTACTACCTGTTTGCGTGGGAAGACTATGACAAGTATGTGATCTTCGCCTCGTTCAACCTGATCTGGTCCACAGTGATCCTGGAGGTGTGGAAGCGTGGCTGTGCCAACATGACCTATCGGTGGGGGACATTGCTGATGAAGAGACAGTTTGAGGAGCCCCGACCAGGGTTTCATGGGGTCTTGGGTATCAATTCTGTCACCGGTCGGGAGGAGCCTGTCTACTCCAGCTTTAAGAGACAGCTGCGCATTTACCTGGTCTCGCTGCCTTTTGTATGCCTCTGTCTCTATTTCTCTCTGTATGTCATGATGATTTACTTCGACATGGAAGTCTGGGCCTTGAGTCTACACGAGGATAGTGGGTCCGAGTGGACAAATATCTTGTTATATGTGCCCAGCATCATCTATGCCATCATAATTGAGATCATGAACCGCCTCTATCGATATGCTGCTGAGTTTTTAACTTCATGGGGTAAGCCTTGATTTTTTTTGTATTCACGTCTTATTTTGCCTATAAGAAATGTTTCTTAGGTTCTAGGACTACAGAACTGCCACCATGCAGAGGAGATGGATGTTCTCGTTTGTTATAGAGACATGAGGAAGAATTCATCACCTCTGTGAGCTCTGATGATCTTTGTGTTAGGTTTATCACAGCTTTCGTTTATTGAGTGTTACTATGTTCTGGATGTCCAGTAAGCACTTTATCCACAGTATCTTATTTTCCCCTCCTCAGGGCACTTTGAAATAGAAGTCATTTCACCATTTTGTGGATAAAAGATATTGAAAAACTTAACAAGATTTTAACAATAAACTGCAGAACCAGGCTAATCCACACCTATCTGTCTTAAACCTCTGCTCGTAATACTGTAACAGTGTGTTTCATGCTGAAGGTAAAATAAATTAAAATTATCTTCATGATCCTAGGGCTAGTATCCTAAAATTGACTTGTCTAGTTCATTTGGGCACTGAGGACTGCTATCAGCAGAGGTGGTTCTTCATGCATCTCTCTGTAGAAATGAGGAACTTGGTTATAGTTTAAAAATGGTCTGAATTCACTCATTAATTGTTTATTCAAACAAATAAATAAATATGCTATATTATAGCTTAGGAAGAAGTCTAGGCCTTAAATTCATGGATCATAAAGATGTTTTAAATTATTTTAATTAGTGATATAACAATAGAAGCAACTATGTGTTGAGGGCTTCCTTTTTGCTGGTTCTGGTCTGAGGCTGCATATTATTTCTGATTCTGACTCCAAACCCGGGAGGAGGGTGGTCTACCTTGTGTTGTAGGCGAGGAGGCTGAGTGGCAGGAAGCTAAGTAGCTGGCCCAAGGTGAGGCCATGGCTGAGCAGCTGAATTGCTGTTTTGATCCTGGATGATCCCCTGCCTCTGTGCAGGATGACACTCTCCTCAGAGTATTCCTTTTTGTTCTTTTGTTAGGCTATTTTGGGATCTGTACAATGTACCATGTTTAAGCAAGGATGGAAAGTTGAATTTCCATCTCTTCAAGTTACTCCCTGTAAGTCACCTGTCCAGAAAACTATAACGTCCTCCTCTTAGTGGTTATGATCAGTTTTGCCACTTATCCAGGACCTTCTTTTAGGCAGTCATTTATAAGATCATTTGCCGATGCTTCCCAAATTTCTTTTTAGCATTAATATTTAAAAAAATTCAGACCACATGATATTGCAGACCCATGAGGAATGTGTCCTTGCTTGGTGTTCTTGGTGGCAAGGAATGACCATGACCAGAAGCCTGGCATATTTAGTGACTGAGGATCTGTGATCATATGTCTCTGTTCTGAGCAAAAGTCCCATTTTACCTCACGTCAGTGCACCCATGTTTTTTTCTTATCTGAGAGAAATTATCTTTCCTTTTTAATATTTTAGAGAATCACAGATTGGAATCTGCATACCAGAATCATCTAGTTCTGAAAGTTTTGGTGGTAAGTAGAGTTTTTATGTACAAGTCCATCTGAATTTTGAAACTAATGGATACTACTTGGTGTTTAGGATTACAAATATGAAGAGTGACTTCTAATTTAAGATAAATTAGCCTGTTTTGTATAAATAGGCAAGAGGTGATTAATAAGCATGTGTACTTTTATGTTCAGTGACCTTATTACAAATGTGTATGTGGTGTGAGACTTTACAATATAGAGATTAGTAACGTAGCCCATTTCCAGTTATTAAATAAAAAAGGAACCACTTTCTAGACATGTTTGTATTTAGTAACCTCTTTGAATGTTTTTGCTATTTGGTGATCCTCTCAGATACCTGCAGTCTGAATAGTGATGAAACCCTAAATTATTTTTAAAATTTTGGTAAAGAAATTTCCAAAGTCCAAGAGGTTTCCAGCATGTTTTGATGGATGGGAGGAAAGAAATGGAGAGAAAGTATTGTACGATGTGCTTGCTGTTTATGTAAACACTCACCCATTACATCTCTTTCCATCATTATTATAAGTCATAAAGAAGTCCCACCTTGAAAGCACCTCACTAGTCAGAGGGTTACCCCATCATCTGTGTCATAATGTAAGAATCCCTGAATTTGTTGCTGGAATGGCTCAAACACAGTCCACATACTTCACACTTCAAACTAGGGTCTTCGTTCTAGCCATAGAATCATCCTAAGAAGTTTGCCTGTCTGGTTTTTTAGTCCTTAAAAGATCAGAAATCACCATTAGGAGAGTTCCAGAAGTAGGTAAACTTAGGCAAGAGCAGTTAAGGAAATAGAAGACTTGTCATAGATAAAAATTCAGTAATTTGGCCATTAAAACAAGAGCAAGTGACCTTAGCATCTTACAAAATATCTAAAGGCCTGATTCACATTATGAAATAATGGATATTTAAAATGTTGGTGAATCCAAAGGAAGTTGCATAATAAAGCAGAGGACCTCATATTACGTTGTTTTAGTTAGCTTTTTCATCACTGTGGCCAAAAGACCTGATAAGAACTTAGAGGAGGAAAAGTTTATTTTGGGTCATGGTTTCATAGGTCTCAGTCCATGGTCAGCTAACTCCATTGCTCTGGACCTGAGTGAGGCAGCACATCATGGCAGAAGAGCATGGAACAGGAAAACAGCTCAGGACATGACAAAAAGAAGCAGAGAGCTCAGCTCACCAGGGACAGTTTATAAACACCAGAGTCACACCCCCAGTGACCTGCTTCCTGCTGTCACACCTTACCTACCTACAGTTAACACCCAGTTAATCCACATTTGTGGAATAATCCACTGATTAGGTCATTCCTCTCATAATTGAATTATTTCACCTTTGAAAATTCTTGCATTGTTTCACACATGAGCTTTTGGGGAACACTCATATCTAAATTATAACATCCATTAAGAAGTTCACTTCAAAAGACCACAAGGGAGCTTTTGCTCGCAGAGCTGAAAGCATGCATCTTTCTTAAAAAATTCAGTTATGTATAAGACTTTGTTATCTCTGGCAATGCCGGATACGATGCCAGGTGGCTGCTCTGTAAAGATCCACACGTTTGAACCAGTTCCTCCTGCATTGTGTTTGTTACTCTCTCCCTTTCCCTGTAACTTTATAGAAATAGTGTTTGTCAGTCTTTCAGGCTTTGCTGTTCAACTTCCATTCTGACTTAGCATCCCTGTGCTGTGGCCATATTGATCTCACTGCTCATCATCTGGACAGTGTCCCAGTCCTAACTAGGTGCTCACTCTTATACACATAGCAGCCTCTTCCTCAGAAGGCGATGCTGTGCCACAGAGAGTAGGCAATTGGAGACTGGGAGGCAGAACCCTAAGTGCAGGATGGCGACAGGTTCTTGAGCCAGGGAACCACTTGAAGGAATGGGACTTTTTGTGGCAGAATCTCCTGGCTGGTGCCCCTAGCCCCAGGCTGCCACTGTGCCTGGCAGGGCAGTGAAACTCATGCCTCTGCTGACAAAGATGCTTCCCAACTGGGCTGGTTGTTTTGACTGGTGCTAGTGCCGCCTGGCTACCCTGGTGTTTCCTGGAGGAAGGGAATCTTAGGCCCTTGAGCAGAAAGAGGCATTGGTATTTGTCCCTTGTTGTGATAGGCCCCCTTGCCAGAGCCACACAGCTTGCTCTGTTGTCTCCTGTGTGACTTAAGGTCTGTGGGCATGAAGAAGTTTCCAAGGTGGGGCTGTTTGTTGCTATGAAGTCTTTCTTGCCATGTTGCCTGCCTTCCATGGCATCTCTCTATGGGACAGGGAATCTTGGGCACTGCAGGGAAGAAGGGTACTTCCCCTGCAGCTTACTGCTAGTGGGGCCTGATTGAAACCCCCATGCCCATTCCTCTGGGCTTGCTGGTATGGATGGGACTCCTATTTGAATAGGGAGCAGTGAACCAAGCTGGTCTACCCAGTTCCTGGGATGGGGTTGCTGGGCCTTGGTTTTCCCTTGAGTGGGGACAACTTAAACCCCATTAAATCCAACGTTTTCAATTCTGCAAATATTTCAACAAAACTGGCACAAATGTGTTCGAATAGGTTGGATTAATCTGGAGATATATATATATGTGTGTGTGTGTGTGTGTGTGTGTAATGTTTGTTATTATTGTATAATCAGATACTTACATGATATGTATGTTATATAGCATATAATTATATTTATAATTGCACTCAAGTTTTTACAGGTGTTCTACACGTCTGGGATGATGGGGTAAAATGGATTAGGATGCCGATGCTGTGTTGTTCCTCTGGTCCTGGGGTCCCCAACAGTTTACTTCTTCCTAGTGCCTTTCAGAGCTCTCCTTTGGTTTCCTCTCCCGTTATCCAGAGTTGATAGTGGTATTTAGTAAGAAGGCACAGGGAGGTACAGTTCTGTGCCTTGTTATCTGGAACAGAAGTTCCTCATTGTGTTTTTTAATGCTGTATTTAGGATTATAATAAGGTACTGCAAAACAGTATTTAACATTGTTATATTTTTTTGGCAGTTCAACTTTCTAAATTGCTTCGCCTCACTCTTCTACATTGCTTTTGTCCTAAGGGATATGAAGCTTTTGCGCCAGGTCAGTGTGCATAACAGAAAAGAATCTGTTTTTTCAGGTCTTGGTTAGTTTCCTATATTCAGGTAATTGTCTTCAGATTATTTTTATAAATAAAATCTTTTTCAATTTTGTATATTTCTAAGCCCAATTCTAAATATGAAAAACATGAGCATGCGTGCCCTGTGTATCATTTTAAACTGATGAGAAATTAACCAATTTGCAAAATTAACCATAAAGGGCAATAAAATCAATTATGTGGTTCACTTCAAAGCTTGTTAAACCAGTCCCAACAGCCAAATGTATTCATTAATTGAACTTCTGGGGTGTTTTAGGCAGGGGAGATTGGTATAACCTTAACAGGTCTTTTTTTTTTTTTTTACCTTAACAGGTCTTGTAAATTTTATTTTTAAGTTGATAAGTTGTTGAACTTTACAGTTCAGTGGATCCTGTGCTGTGCTCTTTCTTTACTGAAATGTTTGGGAAAGTCCCACATTTATTTTGGCATCTTGTCATTTCTGGATCATGTTTTTAGTAGTTTTTAGTAGTGACTAAAAACTTGATTGCAAATTATGAATTTCTAAATTCTCATTTTGTACTTGAGCCAGTTATCGGTAAAGGGCCATTTCTTCCTGGTTCTAATATTCTGAAATGGTTTGTGAGCAGTGTCTGAAATCCTAGGATTCTTAATACTTACATGAAAGATTGGGATAATTTCCTCGGAAATTAAAAAAATTGTATAATCAGAGAAATTACAAGATTTTATAGTTGGGTGCTAATGGCTTGCATAAATGTTGTTGCTCTTATCAACTATACTAGATACATTGCTACCTTTTAAAATTATTTTTGCAAATTGGGAAAGTTAAAAATAATGTATTTGGATTTGATTAGCTGAATGTATGGACCTTCTCTGACCCCACATAGTGGTGTATTATTAAGGTATGACTTCTTATTTCTTATCTTTAGAGAGTCTCCTTTAGTTATCAGGGGGAATGAAGGAGGACTCTTTAAAAATCAGAAGTGTAGTGCCAGCACAGGTGATGTCAGATGGAAACATTCATTTCCACCTGGGGAAGGTGGAAATTGGTCCATCATCTCTGGAAACCACTAAGGTAGCTTCCCCAAGAACCTCAGCTTGTTCCTAGTACATCATCAGAGATGTGATCAAGACTCACAGATGTGGGATATCCTATGAGAGCTTTTATAATAAGAACAATTGGAATTAAATTTAATTCAGCAGCAGTGTATGAGCTAAGTAAAAACATTTTTAGTGATATGGGAAAAATGCTTTCAATATATTGAGAAAAGGAATATAAAAAAGCATGTATGTATAGGATGATTGTAGTTTAATTGTACACATGATTGGGAAAACTACCTCAAGTTGTGGTAGCAGTTCTGTCATGGTTATGGAATTATGAGTAGCTTTTTGTTTCTTCTATTTTCTACTGCAAGGTGAGGATTTGCTAATTTTATAATTCAATTTTTTTTAAAAAAGTTTTTTTTCAAAGTTGTCAACATCATTTAGATTTTTATGTTGTGGTTAGGATGAGATGACAAAGAAAACAGTTTCAGGTTACTACATTTTCCTATTGACTCAATTGGCTTATTTCTTATCATCTTATTTGTATTTTAATCTAAGTCTTTTCTGTGACAACTGTAAATCAGAAACACTTCTCTAACACATAGCTTGTCTAATATTAGTTTTTATAACATAATAGTATAGTATAATTTTAAGGCCTCATTTTATTTATTACATAATTATATGCATATTATAGTTTTATTAAGCTACCTTGCCATGACTTATGTTCTTCTCTTTAGAGCTTGGCCACACTTCTGATTACTTCCCAGCTCCTTAACCAAATAGTGGAATCTCTTCTTCCTTATTGGCTCCAAAGGAAGCATGGTGTGCAGGTGAAGAGGAGGGTGCAGGCTTTAAAGGCAGACATTGATGTTGCATTATATGAACAAGTCATCCTGGAAAAGGAAATGGGAACCTATATGGTAAGTTGGATTATTGCTGAATTAAACATTACTGGAAGTGGATAATAGTCATGCCTGTCGTACACTCATTGTCTCAGGTGACACTATTTTATAAGTGCTTCCAGCCAGTTTCCTCTCTGAACCACTTTAAAGTTGAAAAGATGGGGTCAGGGTTATAGCTCAGTGGTAGTGCACTTGCATAGCATGCAGAAAGCCCAGGATTTGATCCCTACCCCCCACCCCCCGACAGTGCATTAAAATGCTGCCATCTTGGATCAAAAGTTATGCCCAGTAACACCAAAGGGCAAGTTTAGGAAATTACTTGACAGTTTTGCAGAACCAGGAGGTGAGAATAGTTGCTCCAAACATGACAGAGCAAGGGAGAAGTGACTGCCCAGAGAAGCAACAGCATTGCTCACTCTTGGCATTTCAAACTCATAGAAAATTATCACTCAAGCAAAAGATTGAGGACCACTGCTGAAAATGGAATGCCAATGCGAAGATTAATTTTTAGTTTAAATTAGTGGTGTTGTAGATATAAATCAGTTCCTTTCAGACAATTTATTTTTAGGAACTATAAGAAAATTAGTAGAGATTTAGTTGCTTATAATATTTGAAAAGTCTAGCTCATAAAAATCTAGCCATGTATGCATAAACTTTTATTGTGCTCCACCCGTGTTCACTGTCTGTATTTGGTGGGGTGGGATTTGGGGATTACATTTCTTTCAGGGCTCTTTTTCATGCATTCTGTGCCTTCCTTTTGGACATGGTAAAAGATCTATTTCTTGGTGAAATAGATCCCTCGGTAGTTCACTCAGTGAGGGTCAATTTTGTTAGACATCCGTAGTTTCATTTTTCGTGGAGAATAAGTTCATCTTTTGATTACTGAGTTCCTTAGCTGGCTTTCATAGTTTTTCTAATATGCTAAAGAATTTTGGTTTTTATGTTCATCTTCAGTAAGAGTTCTCCCTCTTCTGTCTGCTCACTTCTCCCTGCCTTATTTATTGCAGCTGTTCCCTGGGGCTCCCACCCCTGGTTTGCTGGGGATTCTCTATTTCAGGTCATGGAGCCAGTAGGTAGCCGTCCACACAAACTGTAGTTCCTGGCTGCAGTTGTAACTTTTTTCAGCCTCCCTTTCAAGATGGGTGGGGGTTGACTTTCCGCCTGGTTCCAGTTAAATTCCAAGGAAGGGTGCTCTCTGTTCTCAGTTCTCCTGCCTGACAGGAAGCAGATCTGAGCCACCTCGGCCTGCCTGTGGAGTTGGAGCCTGGCCATGTTCTGCCTTCCCATCTTGCTTTTATTCCATTTCTTACGTATGCACCTGTTTTTTTCTTGTTTCTGACTGGGGATATGTCTTTTGATTAAAATATCTATATACACAGTTGCATTTTCTATCATTTCTGTGTTTAGGGGAGAAGATATAAAGTATAAATACACAGCACAACTAGAATGACAGTGCCACGTGTGTTTATATGTGAACGGCAGAGAACATGCACACAGAGGAGGAGTTAGAGATGGGGAGCTCGTGGATACAGTGGAGCTGTCCTTTCTGAATGCCCATCTGCTGTGGGTTAAAACCCAGTCTCAGTTAAGTCACATTATGTCAGGATCCTCTTCTTGCTTGTGCAAGGAGTAGTTTTTTGGGGGAGCCAGATTTGTTTTTCTTCCTTCATGCTGTTCCAGAAACTAACCCAGCAGTCTCTCCATCATGCTCATCATTCACCCTCCCTGCCCTGGAGAGGCCACATTTTCCCAGCCTTCACCAGCTGCTCCTGGCTCTCCTTCCTTCCTCTTGGTGCCTGCCCCAATCCTCAGCAGCTTTCCTATTTTAAACTAAGCAAGCCCTTCACCTCCTGTGTGGTTTGTCCTGTCTCTTTCTTGTCCCTCACAATTTCTTGAGATAAAGTCTCCATATTATTGTCAGTGTCCTAATTTTCTTCCTATAATCCGTTAGAATCTGCTTTCGGCTATTCTTTTTCTCTGAAATTGGGTAAATGACATCACCTCCTAAAGTGCCCAAACCAAGCTCATAATGTCTCCAGAGAACTTTCTCCTCTTTTCCCTGGCTCAGTAAATGGTATACAGTAATCCAAACAACACAGACCTGTGTGTACAGTTCTTACTTCTCTGAGAACTGCATGAAATAAGGTGACACTGCCAAGATCATAGATCTTGCCTCTTGTGGCATTTCAGTCCAACTGACAATGCCTTTATGAAGGAAGGTGAAGGAGGCTCATATTACCTGAATTTACTGCTTATGTGTGATAGCACTTCAGCTCTAGAATTACACTGAGATTTTGAAGAAAAGTAGAAGCTCTATGTTGTTAGTCATTTGGTGACTAAATCAGGAACAGGGGTCAAGACTTGGTTTTCCCAGTTTATAGTCTTTCTGTTGTACAGCTCAGAGGATCTGTGATGTGACATGAGAAGAACTGGTGTATTAATCTCCCTGGCAGGTCCTGGGACTGTAAGTGAACTCCAGGCTTACAGGGTTCCTTCTCAGCTTGCCTGTAGGGTCCTCCTGGTCTCCCATAAGTTCCCAGTGTACTCTCTCCACTGGAGCAGCATTAGGTATTTGTTATCTTTAATGTATTTGGAGAGAAGAAATGCTTTGGGGCACATTTGTTCTAGATGATTGTTTCTGGTGCATTGATCCTTCCCTTGTGGTATATTTTGCTCCTCACTGAAGTCAGAAAATTTAGGATTACATGTTCTGGGACTCCATCCTGACTGCCTGCATGAGTCTAAGATAATGTTGTCAAGCTTTGGGAAAAAGCAGTTTGGTTGAAATTTTTGAGAACATTATTGTAAAAGTAATACTTGCTCACTTACTATAGAAAACTTGGCAAATGCAGAATAGAACAAATAAGAAAAAGGAATTCCTCTGTCGTATCCACACCTAGGATGACCAACTGGCGCCCCTGACCCCTGCTCCACCAGCTCCAGACTAGGGCTTTGCAGCTTCTTGGGTCTTCACTGTCCACTGCTGTCCTTTTCTTGAAACTGCTAGTTTTTACCCAACTACCTAGCCAAGGAAGGTTGAATTTTCACAATGCCTGCTCCACCCAGAATAATAATCACCCCACAGTAAGTGAGCTGCTGTCTCTTAAGCTAGACATTAGTGAGGTTTGCCAAAAATGTAAGTGATGTCCCTTTTTACACTTAAACAAGTGTATTTTTCTAAAAAAAAAAAAAAAAGAAAAGAAAAAGAAAGTGTGGTATATATACTCAAAGAAATATTATGCAGCTTTAAAGAAGAGAGAAATTGTAGCATTTGCCAGTAAATGGATGGAGCTGGAGAATATCATGCTAAGCGAAATAAACCAATCCCAAAAAACCAAAGGCCTGATGTTTTCTGTAGTATGCGGATGCTTATTCACAATAAGGCGGGGGGCACTAGAGAAGAATAATATTACCTTAGATTAGGTAGAGGGAAGTGAAGGGAGGGGAGGGGATGTGGAGATAGGAAAGATAGTAGAATGAAATAGACATTATTACTTTATATATTTTTGTGACTGTATGACCAATATGATTCTACAACATGTATACTCAGAAAAATGAGAAATGATATCCCATTTATGTGTGATATGTCAAAGTGTATAAATGTATTCTACTGACATGTATAACTAATTAAAACAAATTAAAAAAATTAATTAAAAAATAATCAAAGTTATGTTAAAAAACAAGTATATTTTTCTAAAGATATTTTATTTTTGTTAATGTTATTATTTTAATGAATTAATGAAAAAATTTGAGTTTTAATTTCAATATGATAAATATCGCTAGATAAAACTCACATGAGAATGTCCTTAACATCCTCAGTAACGTTTAAGAGTCTAAGCTACAAAGTTTGAAAACTGCAGATCCAGAATAGTCTCCCTCTCTCATGCTTGAAGACACTGACTTTTTTGAATCTGTTGTCCATTTCCTCATGAGGCCACTGTGAATGATGTTGGAGGTGCCCTGCTCTTGTACCAGTCAGGAGACTCTACCCTTGTCCCTTTGGTGGGGCTACTGTGCTTGATCACTTGGTTGACTTGCTGGCAGATTGTAAGGATTCTTTTTAATTTTATAATGAGTTATCTTTGGGTAGATACTTTGAGACTTCTCTGTTCCCTATACATGTCTTTAAAAATGTATTTTCTAATCATTGCTAGCATATGGAAATGCTGTTGAGTTTTGAGTCTTACCGAACATGTTTGCTGAATGCTCCAGTATTTTTTTCCCCAAATGTCTATTTTCTTTCTTTCTTCAGTTTTTATTCTTTTTATTATATCTTTTAGGCTTATTCTCATGTTCACTGTAATTTGGATAGAAGTGGTTATAACAGCAATATTTTTCTTGTTCCTGATTTTTTGTCTTCTCTCCATTGGGTGTTATATTTGTTCCATGTTGCTGGGGTATAACTTTTATCAGTTTAAAAATGTTTTCTGTTGCTTATTTTCTAAAGATTTTTAAAATCATGAACAATATTAAGCTTTATCAAGGGTTTTTTGTTGTTGTTGTTGCTTCTGTTGTGATTGTTATATTATTTCCTTAATTTATTAGTGTTTTTATTAATATGAGTACATTTCCTAATGGAACACCATGTTCAAATTTGAATGATTAACTATTTGTTCAGTGTTTTTATGTACATTGCTACGGTCAAGTATGCTAATATCTTATTTGGGGTTTTTAAACCATCAGCTCACAATTTTCCTTTCTCAGTCACTTGAGTTCCTTACGGAAACCCTGTTTCAAACATAGAGCATTTAGCAGGCATTCAGTATAATACTTAATAAGGAACAGTGTTGGGAAAAGAACAGCCCAGATTCTGTGGTCTCTGCCCTGGTGGCCTTCATTCTATGCTTTTTTCCTGCCATTCAAATCTACATTATATGAGTAAGCTCTGTGCAGGGAACTCTGAGACAAACGATGTAAGGAGCAAGTGGGGTGGGTCACTCCAAACTTGGAACTATATCTTCATACACTTAATAAAGTAGATATGTAAAATTAGCTATGGCTTTCACTGTCATAGTATT